ATTGAGAGAATCTGATCCAATTTATTATTGATTTCATTATTCAGATTGTGAACAGAATCCTTCACAGTTGGTTTGATGACATCTTTTGGTGGTAGAGGTGGAGGAGTATTCTTATTTTTGATGACCTCGGAATAGGATTTGGAAGAATAGTTTGATCGATTAGAATCCACAAATTTTCTAATACCAGCAGGTTTATATTTGTTATAGAGCCTTTGCATTGAATTGTTTTGAGTGGATGTCTTTGGTTTAATAGGTTCTTTATTGTCATTTAGTGTAACTGATTTTTGTAAAATGGGGCATTTCATAATAAGATGAGCTGGATCGCCACATTTGTGACAGCTTCTAGCATTGGGGAAATTCCACATCAATTGATTGTTATCAAAAGTAAAGTTTTGTTGAGTTGCATGATTGAGAGCTTTCTCATTTTCAAAGTGTAAAATAACAAAAGGACGAGGTTTATAGTTGTTGGATCTAGGAATATAACTAGCTTTAGCTTTAGTAGCAAGAATTATATCATGAAGATCTCTTGCAGAGGTATCAAAAGGAAGATTTGTTAATTTAATACAGTGTGTATTCCTATATTTAATTTCATTAGGAGACAAAGTGCAAGGATTAATACGAACAAAATCATTCTGGATGAAATGACTTCACACTTGATAAACTAGTTCAATACATTTAGGGTTTTCGTAAGTAATATAGGCATATTGCCACATACCTCTTACTGTCATTTTAAAATTGGTAACTATTCCATATTTAGCAAAAACTTGTTTGATATTAGCAGACTTCATTTGTAATGGGATATCAGTAACATGAATAGTTCTTTCGTTAAATTGCATATCCGCTTTGTATTAAGAGAAATCACAAAAAGTGTCGATCCTGAGATCAGGAATAGTCATGTGTAGGGCTGCAGCAGCTATGTCTGATATCACAAAATAGACAATTATAGAATGCGTCAAATTGACGCGACGAACTGAAACTTCTCGAAAATCATCATTTTGGGCAAAAACATTATTGATAGCGAGAATAATTTTGCTGTTGTTTTTTTCTTTGGGTGTAAACTTGATATGACTAGCAACTGCAAAGGGGGTAGCTTTGGTAACAACTGTGAAATCTTTTAGGTCTTCTTCCATATTATCGTCTTCGAGATATTCATCAGGGTCTAAAAGTTTTGACCTAACTTTGGTTGAAGAAGTGCTTTCAGGAATATTGTCAACTTTGTTGTTATTATTATTGTTGTTATTCAAGGGCAGAATAACCGGTGAAATTTTGTTAAGGGTAGCAATTTTAGATATGTCAAAAAATTCAAACTCCATTGTTTTTTCAGGTGGCGAACCAAAAACTTTTTAGACAATTTCTAAATCTAAGTTGGTGAGGACAGAAGTAGAGGTTGAAGAAGATGAAGAAGCTGGTATAGAAATAATAGCTTCCTTTGGTGCTTTTGAAGCGACGTATGGAACAAACTTAGGGTCACTATTTTTTTGTTTTGCAGCGTTTTTACGCATCATAACTCTCTCGTATAGTGAAGAAAGTGGATAAAACAAAAGAAACCTTCTTTATACTGGGTTTATTAATTAATTTTTTGTTAAAAATGAACTTTTAAATTTTTTA